TACAATTTCCCAGAGCCCAGAGCGGTTCTGGTTTTGTCTGTCAATCAGTCCAAAACTGGAAGATATTCAGCTTTAAAGTGATGATAGAGAAAAACAGCAAATCCATATATTTGAGATTTTTGTAAAATAGATTGCTGCATATCTGTAATAGAGTCTGATTCACTTGCTGTTCAGTTGACTTATTGTTGAGTTTTATTCGGAACAAGAAATAGTTGTAAAATTGTCTTGCATTTTTCTTCTCTTTGCTGGTTTCATAAAAAAAAAATACAGTGACAGAAAGAAGTATTTCTGTAATAGCAGCTTTCCCTTTGAGTGTTTTGTACTGACTCTCATTCACTGTACAGATGCCAAGTAGTTGGAAGAGGGGACCATTGACCAGATGCTCAGTTCCTAAACTAATCGCTAGTTGTTCTAATAAAACACTTCTGGTTCAGCATAAATCCCATCTTTATATTGTTTTTTTAACTACTGTAGTGTGTTTTTGCCTCACCATGGTGCACTATAATATAACAGTGCCATGAGCCATAATGGGCTCATTGCTCCTGAGGGGCTTCAAAGACCCGTTGGTGCTTCACGGCTGGTGGGAGCGGCAGTTATCGGAGAGATTAGAGTTTATTGGAAGGGTTTTAAAACAGCATATTTGGTGACTAGTTTGGTTAGATTTCCCCACCTCACTTAAAGTGTATTGCACTGGGATGTTTTTTTTTCTGAGACCTTCCAAGACCATCTCCCAGGCACTAAATCAGAAAGTCTTAATGCTATTTTACCTCTGCTAACAAAATCTACCAGTCAATTCAGAAATTAGACTTCACAATTTCCTCCATCCTGCAGCTATATGGGTGGACCTAATCACAGCAGAGAAACAAAAACATAGAAACTGAATCACAGCTACCAACGGGAAACGGTTGTACTGAGTCAGCACGGCCGAAATGAGAAATGTCTGATATTAGTCTGGAGACAGTCGGTACATTACATTACAAGTTCAAGTGACTAATATTAACAAGATCAGACTCCATATTTCAAACAGCCCACACAGAGAAGAGACCAGACGCCTCATCTCAACAGGAGCCCAGCGAGACTGTATTTAAAGTGCAAAGTGAGGGAGGAATAACAAGAGGCAAATATCAGCGAGACGTGTTACAACACAAAACTAAAGGAGCACGAAAAAGAGCAGCGCAATGAAAACAAACCTTACAATCGGGGGCTTTGTATTCAGAGGCGAGATGATTCCAAACCACATGTCCAAAATCCACAGCGAAGCGGTCAAAGCAACTGTCAGGGAAATGTTCTATCTTGGCTCCCAATTTACAAATGTACCAAAGGGACAGAGGGCGAATATGTTGCTTATGAGTTGCCCTTAACCCTCAACGGTTCCACTGGCTGCTCAGGGGGCAAAAAGGTCAGACTGCTGAGCGGCTTCCCAGCGAGCAGGGTGATGCAAAAAAAGTAGTAATGTTCTTACTCAGAGTTGTTGTTTTTGTTTAATTAAAGGCTCACATATGTTTGTAATATACTGCAGTAGATATACAGCATCTCATCTTTTTATAGCAATTTATGATTTATTCAATGATGCGTTTAAGTGATTTTAAATTAGTTTTTAATACACTGAATGATGTGAGTTGCTGTCTTTAAACAACGCTTCATTCAATTATTCATCAAAACCTCAGAAATCCTTTTGATTTGGAAAATTGCTGCCTATTATTTTTAACTTTTCTGCACTTGCAAACGGACCGCCCTATTGTAGGCTAACATTTGTCATCACATCAATGTCAGCATTACAGTAACATCACATCTCTCTCTCTTTCAGCACTGGCTGGAGCCCAACAAGCCCGTGGTGAGGCAGATGAAGTGTAAGTGTCCCTTCTGCTCCTGTTGTTGCATCAGTGTGTGTACAACAATGAGAAATGGATGTGTGTATTTTTATTTGTGTGTGTGTGTTTGTCTCCTGAGGGTCGCTGTAGTGTGAGAGGGTCAAGCTCTGCAACAAACAGACAACACACACAGGGGAGTCCGACAGGGTCACAACATCGAACACGCAGCAGTGTACGACTGTCTGGATGCACAAAAAATAAATACAAACTCAAATATATGCATGAAAAAAGTGATTAAAAAATAAATGTAGGTTTTAGGACCTTATCGCTCAAAGTTTCTGCAGGAACTAGTGACAGACAATGTGGGACAGTGAGTTGTTTTTGCTCAGTAATACCGCAGGGGGACAAACAGAGACACAATGAAGACAGACAGAGTGACAAGAGGAGGGTTTTTCAGAAACACAGCAAAGTGCCAGAGGGGCAAGTGGCCCAAAGAGGAAATGAGCTCAACCACAAAGTCAAATACACAGACGTGGCAGGGGAGCTAACAACCGAGAATATAAACAAGCTGCCTTCAGCGGGTGTGCACATCAATGGGTAAAGTTTCTTAGAGCATGTAGCACTGAAAGGATGGTGTTTTAACATGTGTGGAAGTTACAAGTTATGTTGTCGGCTACATATAGCAACACAGAGAGCAGTGGTTGTTGTTGGACGTCACCAATGAAATAATTCACCTGGTCTTCAGTGATTATTTTAGGCTTCCAGCATCTCACTCATAAGTTGGCAGTTGTGTTCGTCTATGTGGGCTAATATGTAGATTCAGATGACAAAAGGTTACTTAGATGATGAGGATAAATTTATTGTTTGCAGACTTACTCTGCAGCAAAACTTGCATTTATTTTTTTCTTGTCCGCTTGACGTTTGCCGCAAATTCAGATTAGATACGACTCAGCTTCTTTGCATTCTGCAGGCAATCAATATAAAATGAGAACCTCGCAAATGTGACATTATCGCACTTGCACTGGCTGACCCTCGGAGTTTCTAAAATGCCAGCGTGGAAGTGTGTTTGTATTGCAAGATATGAGCAACTGAAGAAACCAGCGGGGATAACTCTGCCTTCGCTTCATGAAATTTTAAAACAAATTTCACTCTCAGCCACATTTTATGCAGGGGGGCTTTGAGATTTCCGTGAAAGAAGAGGCAGATTTAGAAGTAAACATCTCACTTGGAATCCTTCCCTACCTGTTCTTTCACATCTCCACATTTCTATCTAGTCTAAAAAAGATTGCCTCGCTCTTTTAATTCCCCTCCCACTCTCCTCCCCTCCTCCCGTTCTGTCTTCAAGACTCTGTCTGAAGTTCACCCACCCTTCTAATGACTGTCCTGTTCTTTCTGTCCCGTTATAAATTAATAAAAGAGCTATTAGCGGCGCATTCTGCTTCATCAGAACATGTGCAAGAAGACAGGAGGGGTAGGCTGAGGATATGAGGGAGAATTGGAATGAGAGATGGAGGAAGAGAGGGAGGAAAGCGTAATAAAGGGGAAATGTGAGGGAGAGAGGGGACAGTGACAGATAATGTAGCCAAAGAGAGAAGTCAGATTAGAGAAGAAAAGAGCGAAAAAAAAGGAGATTGAAGAGACAGTTTGAGATGAGAGAAGCTGACAGAAAGTGAAAAGAAGGAAAAAAGCGATGAGGGGAGGAGGGATGGAGGAAGAGTGTTGAATAGATGTGAGTTGCACTGACACATCAGTTCTCCCCGTGGCAGGATTTACTCTCAAATTAGGTTTGTGTGCGTTTGCTTGTATTTTATTTCGCCTTTGTGCGTCCCGGCTTACGGCGCATACGTCACACTTCTGCGAGTGTGCGCTTTGTGCCAATTCACTTTCTCTAAAATGTTTTCAGAAAAAGCATTCGCCGTCCCTAAAGCCTGAGCAAATAAGCAGCTCAAGTTCTTTGGGAGCGGGTGGGAGGATTGCGTCTTTCATATTGCTCAGCATGTATTATGTAGATGTGTGCTGTTTTTTCATAGCTAGATAATACCGCAGAGGATCCTGCCATTAAAGGGAGAGTGGTGAGGGCACTCTGAGATGATTTCTAGTCCCGTGTTAGAGGATGATAACTTTCCCTTTTCTTGATGCTCACCTTAGGATCATTTTTTTCTTCACTTTTTTAGCATCTCCCCTGAAAGTATCCACATAACAGTCAAAATAACTAACGTGTGTTGCTTCATGATTAAATATCAGACTTCACATATTAACACACTGAATGCAAATCGTAGCTCATATTTCAAATGTTAATGAATAAACCGTCCATTTGAATTGCTGATAGATTTTCCTGAGGACCATTGTGTTAACCCTGCAGTTTTAGCTGCATGCTGTAGCAGTGAAATACATTAATTACTTTAGCGAAGTAGAGAATTGACTACTTATACTACAAATACTTTTCTCAGATTTATTTCTTCTTTCCTCTAAAATGCTCAGTTTCATTCCCCGTTTGTTTTCACCTGACTCCAACAACACAATCACACTGTAAATGACAGGCTCTAGAATGTTTTGATCCCAAATCATCATTCAAACTAGAGGGTGAGTTGGTTTTGAGTACCTGAGTCTTAGGCTGGAGGTTCGAAGAGAGTCTGAAGCCCATGATGAAGACCTTACACGGCTGCAGGGAGTGGTGGAGGTAGCATGGTGAGGCATGTGGAGGACAAAATGTAATGCTGGCAATTTAAAGAAAAAAAAAAAATGCTGGAAAAATAGAAGCCAGTCTCCAAAAGGAAAATATAAAAGTTAAGAGGGGAAAAACTTTCAAACAGTTACTTCCAATGCTTAAACAACAACAGGAGTAAAGTATTGTATGGTGCTGCCTTCAGTGTCGACCATTGCTCTGCTTCTCTCCCAGTATGCTCTTATACATTGGTTAGGGGGCTGCCTTTCCAGTTCAAACTGGCCAATCAGCTCAGAGCTCTAGGAGGGTGTTTCCAAAGTTAACATCAACTACACATTATTTTCTTAAGATTTTCCAAACATCAATGTCTCAATTCATAGATACACAACCATTTATCAACACTGACCATCAAAACTGGGCGGCACATTGGTGCTTCTCTCCATATTTACATTAATTAGTATAAATTTCATCATGCATCCATTGTCCAATGAGATTTGAGACTCCACCTACTCAACTAACTCATGAAAAAGTGGATTTTGAGGCGTGGCTGCAGCACAAGATGGGGACAAACTCCAACAGGTGATTGTTTCTAAAACGTACTTTTATCAGGCTGTTTGTTGTAAGCAAACAAATTAAATTTACTTTAAGAAGTACAGTTCTGTCTGTAGCAAATGTGCTTGTAAAAGTCATTCAAGTGAACAGAAAAATAGTTGGTGATTTTTATCCACCTTTCCACACAAAAGGCCGACATGTAGTGAGGTGGGGAGCAAGTGCTTCCTTGCATCAAATCTAACTTCAACAATAAATGTTTCCTAGAACATGCAAAGCGGTTATTTTTTATTTTTTGAAACACCTACAGTGTCTACTGGTGATGACTAAGAAAGATATAAAAATGTAAGATCACGTTTTTCTTCTGTTTACACATTTGTAAATCTAACCAATGCCATACACAGAATACAGCTGAGTGCCCTCTCTGCGCAATATCACTTAAACGTTGAATGATTTAACAACTGCATCACCTTTTAATAATCATTATTTCTGAACGTAAAAGGCTTTCTGCTTATGTACAATCAAATACTTAAGGAAGATGTTGCTGAAAATCAAGGCCCCAGACTATAAATGTAGTGCAACAAAAGTGAAAAATCTCGTGATTACTGGAACCAAATTAACCCAACAGCCTGATCATGGTTATTAAATGATGTGTGAACACCAGAGCTCTCTCAGTTTTGGACCTATGGGCTTATCTGCATGTTTACATTGTAGTGCCACATGGAAGAAGTTGATCCAGACTTCACAACAATGGGAAATGATGTAGGAAGATTGGTGACCAACAAAAACGTAGCTGATTAACTGTTGCATTAGTAGTCAGGAGGTATAGAACGAGCCCTCATAACACTAATCAGAGCCACACATACATGCACAATCTCGCTGTGAAATACTGACAGGCAAGTGCTTCAGGCTTGGCACGGGGCTTATCTGTGAAAATCAGAGTTTCTGTGACAACTCGGGCAGTGTGAAGGACAGTCCATAATGCCTGATGAATGCTGGGAGCACATTCTTTTGTCAGATGACAGTGAAGATAAAATTGTTCAGCTCAGATGAGGATCATTATGTTTGGACAGGACAACCACAGTGAATGCATTGACCCAACAGTGAAGTAGGAGTGCGATGGTATGGAGCTGCATGAGTGTAAAAAGTGTTCGTGAGATGATATTTATAGATGAATGAGTGAATGTCAGTGGATAAACAGCGATACTGACTGACAAGATGACTCCCAGTCTGCAGAATCTTGGCAAAAGAAGAATATTCCCACATGATAATAATCCACAGCACACTGCCAAAATCACACAAGAGTTTCTAAAGAAGAAAAAGTAAAAAAACTATGGCTTGGCCACCAAGTAAGTTGCCTGAACTGAGTCCAGCAGAACGTTTTTTGATATTTATAAAAACAAAGGCAGAGCAACACAAACTCTCCAACAAAGAGCAGCTAAAAACAAAAAATGTCTCTGAAGAATGATTGAACATCTCCTCAGAAACTTAGTGTCCTCCATGCCAAGATGAATCCAGTCAGTCATTAAAAATAAAAAAAGTTGTTCAACCAAGTTTTAAAAATATAAGACTGATGTTTGTTGTATTTAGTTTCAACTGTAGGATTTTGATATAGTAAATCTCAGCTCTAAGTTTTTAATTTTACACAAAATCCCCTCCTGTTCAACTTAGAACTAATGCAGTGACTCTGAGGTGAATTATTTGATATATTTTGTACTGTTGTGTACTTTAAGCACCTGGCATAAAACCCAGCAAGTTCTTTAAAATCAAAACAAACAACACTGTTACAGATGTTTTCTAATCTGACGTCAATTCCTGCAGGATTCTTTTTTTTTAATGTTATTTAAAACTGTACATTATTAGGTAACAGGATACAACCGACACTCTCCTTTAACACTTCACAGAGTAAACAAAGGTCATATTGGACATTTGGAAGAACATAGAAATGGAAGAAAATTGAGAATTGGGCCACTTTTGCCAAGGAGTATATATATATTATATTCTGAATATTGCTATACCAATAAACAGTTGCTGCTTATGAGGCTTATGCATTGATGTTTCTGCCTATATGTGTTGCAAATGTATTAACTTCACAGAGCAGACTTTGAACATTAGCATGTGTGTGTATGAATGTGTTTATATGCTGTGTTGTGAGATCCGTGAGACCCCAGGAGGGAGTTTAAACTATTGCTGTAGTTTGATCCGAACCCCACAGCCTATTATTGACTCTGTGTGTGTGTGTGTGTGTGTGTGTGTGTGTGAGCACTTACATAAGTGTGTGTATGTATGTTACTGTGCATATTTAAACAGCATTCAAAGCTGAAATCCTCTCCAGCTGCAACTACATACTCACAGAAATGAAATGCTTTAGGACTCGGATCAAAGGGAAAGAAACAGACCCTAGTTCAAGTGAAGTGAAGTGTGTGTGTGTGTGCGTGTGTGTGATTGTGTGTGTGTGTGTAGGTGTGTGTGTGTGTGTGTGTGTGTTCGTGATGACTAATTACTGTAATTATCAAATGACTAATCAGTATTAGAGGCACACTGCGATTTCTTTTTTCGTCCTCAGTTTCCTTTTCTTTTCACTTTTACATAATCCTCACCGCTCCGCTCCCCTTCTTTCCTGACCTCGTTCATTTATCTCTCCTCGTCTTTTCGCCTCCTCTCTTTCGTAAAAGTCTTCCCCTTTCCTGCTAGTTCATTTCTCCAAACTTTCTCCTGTGTTTCATTTCTTTCTGCCAGTTACTACCAGTTTCCAGGTTGAAAAAAAACAAGAAAAAACTTTCATGAATGTCTTACAATTCCTAATCTCTTCTAAACTTTTTTTCCCCTTTTTCTTGTGTCTCTCTTGCTTTCAGCAGCTCAGCAGCCGTACACGATGTGCTTCCGGGTCAAGTTTTATCCCCACGAGCCAATGAAAATCAAGGAGGAGCTCACCAGGTAAACACTAATACAGAGGATGTTCATGAGCAGTGTGCAAACTATTTGGAAGTGTTTACTTTTGTCACTTTTTCTCAGTCAGAAAGAACAAACACAACATTTGCAAATCTCTTTAATTTTTTGTGATTATTTTTCCTGTTATAAGGAATATGAATATTAAAGATAAGAAAACGGATTAAAAGCTTTGAAGGTTTATTTTGTTATTCTGCTTTGTTTTACTTTGGTTTGTATCAAGAAAGTAGTTTTTTTTCTCCCTAATCACTGAATTAAATTGAGTAAAAGCTCTGATATTGCACCACCATGCTTTGATAATGACAGCGAGAACAGCGTACATGTGTCTTCATTAAAGTTAATTAGTGATTAATCACCTTCATGCAGGATTCATACATCAGTAATAGGCTCATTTTACGCATGAACCATGATTGATAATATTAATAAAAATAGAAATAACATTGCAAAAAATGGCATAATGTCAATATTTTGACCCATCAGACCCCACAGAAAAATACAAAGATAATTTTCATTGTGTTATTAAAAGAAGCCAGTCTCCATGTAGTTATGAGTAATGAGGTAAGAAAGGAACAGAGAACAAGAAGACACTTATTTTTCTTTTCCTTGTTCCAAAATTGCTTCATTCTATTTATATAAACTTGGATCTTTGTTCAATTTCAATATCTGATGATAGTGAAACTGCTTATTCCCTGCTGTGACAATTGCACTGCCTGATGTATTTTTTATTGTTGTATACTGTTTTATTGTGTATTTTATTGTTGTTTCTTTTATCTTTTGTAAGGTGTCCTTGAGTGACCAGAAAGGCACCTTTAAAATAAAATGTATTATTATTATTTATTAGTGTAAGTTACGTTTAAGTTCATAAAAGGAATGGTTTAAAAATAATCACTGAGAGTCGCTCATTATGACACCTTTGGTTGGTTTTGCCAGCACCATCCCGTGCCAAGTGTAGGTGCTTTATTGCTATCAAAAAATACAATATCCCGTAAACATAATATCAACGTTTTTCCACCACCACAACTGTTCGATTGTTTAATTTTTTGCCAAATTGCAGAGATGTATTTGCTTCTCTTTCGGTAGCCTTTAAAAATTACACACATAGGTTTTTTGCTAGATATACACACGTGGACAAAATAGTTGGTGCCCCTCAGTTAATGAAAGAAAAACCCACAACGGTCACAGAAATAACTTGAATTTGACAAAAGTAATAATAAATAAAAATTCTATGAAAATTAAGCAATGAAAATCAGACATTGGTTTAGAACCGTGGTTCAACAGAATTATTTTAAAAAAATAAACTCATGAAACAGGCCTGGACAAAAATGATGGCACCTCTAGAAAAGACTGAAAATAATGTGGGGACATGTTCAATCAAGGTGTGTCCTCTGATTAGCATCACAGGAGTCTACAAACGGTTAATCAGTCAGTCGGCCTATTTATAGGGTTACAAGTTGGTTAATTTTCATTAAGGGACACACCTTGATTGGACATGTCCCCATGGTCACATGATTTTCAGTCTTTTCTAGAGGTACCATCATTTTTGTCCAGGCCTGTTTCATGAGTTTATTTTTAAAAATAATTCTCTTGAACCACAGTTCAAAAGCAATGTCTGATTTTCATTGCTATATTTCCTAGAATTTTCATTTATTATTACTTTTGTCAGATTCAAGTTATTTCTGTAACTGTTGTGGGTTTTTCTTTCATTAACTGAGGGGCACCAGCTACTTTGTTCACGTGTGTATTTCTTAAAATGCATTCTCTTTTTTTCTTTTTTTGTGCAATTGATTGCCTAAAAAGTTTTCCATTCTTGGTAGTTATTTTTCCAGACTTCTTTTCTGACGCACTAAAAAGCACATTTTAATGCTTCTTCACATTTACGTGATGTTAAGGTGTGCTGCATCTGAAGGTGGTAAAAGTGTGGAAATTGTACATGAGAACAGGTTAATATGATAAAGACGGGTAATAAATAAGAAAAATGAAGATATAGAGTAGATTTGTGGCGTGTCAGTCCTCGTGTCCACACCACCTCCTCCAAAACACACACCTTCTCTCAGGCACAGTGATAATTGGAGATGCTCGCTCAGCAGGGAAACTGTTCTCCGTCCCATCTGAGCTGTCATGTTTCACCATCTCTGCTTTTTCACCATCAATCACTCTTCTCTTCCTTCATCCCTGCTTCTCCGTCTTTCCGCCCGTCTCTCTCTCTCTTCCATCCTTTAAGAGTCTCTCCACACCGACTCTAATTTTCCCCCTAAGGTGTCTCCTCCTTCCCTTCTGTTGGTTTCCTTTTGTCCTCCTTCTTCCTCCCCCGTCAGCACAGCTCCTTCTCCTCCCTCAGGTGTCTCTCTGCAGCTCATATTTGGCGTTTCTCCTTGTCTTTTTCCAACTTTTAGTACTTGAAGGTGTCTCTGCGCATCGTCAGTGTCCTTAAAACTCTCCGCTCCGGTCTGTTTCTCAGATTCTTCCTTTCTTGGGCTCTCCTTCAGTTTCTGTTCTGTATCACAGGATTTTTTTTTTATTTATTATCTTTTTTTAAAACTCCCTTTCATGTCGCTGCAGTTTGAAATTGCTGCAGCTTATGTGGGTTGCGTCCACTTCTGTTCATTGGTGTGTTTTAAAGAAGCAGAGTCCTCACGGAATGAAATTACGCTGGCAGTCGACTGATGAGTTCAGAGTAGGAGATGAAGCTGAGCTGGAAGTTCAGAAGGAAGTGCAGCCAGTGATGAAACCCTGTGGAGTGCTCAATATCAAGTTATTTTTTGAGAGGGATTTTTTTTTTTTTTTCATCATCAAAATCCCCAAACTTTTATGCTAATGAGTGTGTGCTGTACGTGCTCTGGTTTGTTATTTAAAGTCTTCCGTTTCCTCTGCAACTTCATTTTTCACCCTCGAATATCAGTCGTAGATGACCAGAAACCTGTATTTTGAGAGATCGCGTATGCATTAGATGATTCTGCACCTTGCATCTTATTTCCTAACACGGTGGATGTTATGTTTTGGCACAAGTTATGCTCTGGGGTGAAGGATGAGCAGGGAGCTCGTCTGATTTGAATGCAGGAGACTACAGGTCAGACTTACAAATGATGATTGTGTTTATCTAAGTTTCACGCTGCCAGATCGTTTCCATGCACAGTTACTGCGGAAAGCAGGAAATAAAGATAAATATTTAACATTGACTGTAGTCCAAGGTTTTACAGAATTATCCTAAACTGACGTTCTTGTCATAACAACATATTTACAGGTCTATAAAGGCTCTCTTTTGGTGCAGTTGAATTCAGTTCAGTCATAAAAGTGAGCGAGTTTGCCGCACGCTCAGAGATCCCAAAGTACAGCCGCTGCTGACCTACACAAATTAAAGCTCACGCAGTAAATGAGAATGGGAATAATAAACCTCAGAGTAGGAGAGAAAGAGAGACGAGGAGGAGAGAGGTAAATGAAAGAATGAAAGCTTTCAACTCGTCGCCATCAGTTTGCAGTCATTATGACATCTGATATACTTTAATCATTGATTCATTGATTAACTGCCATCCAACCAGCATGTTTACACACAAGGACAACCTGCTGGAGTCACTGGGAAACCACCATAAGAAATAACTGCTGTGGAAAACGTGTTTCTTCTCAAAACATTATTAGTTATGTAGTTAATGTAATTTGAAAAAAAAGAGATTATTATTGCAGAAACGCTACAGTTCATTTGCATATTGTATAAAATGAATAAAGATGCTTTTAATAGAAACTGCAGCTTTTAGCTAAAGTATAATCCACATTATTACTTGAAAGTGAAGCAGCAGCCTTTGGCTCTGGTATCATTTAGTTTTTAGTCAATTTCAAGTAAACATTAGCGGAAGCTGCCAAAGTCAGTTTGACCTCAATATAGCATAACTGAAACAAACTTAAACTTCATTACTTTTATTTATATTATATATTCTAGATTTATTACAACTGCATTTTGGAGCTCTGAGACACAGAACAAACCTCCTCGGATCGTTTTCTTTGTAGACACCCTCCATTTATGGTCTCAAAAATGCTTACAGACATTCTCCCCATATGTCCTGGTCATGCTCAGTCGCACCATGACACACTACTTCACAGCCTTACATGCACTCAACAAGTAGTTTCTTCTGTTTAAAGTGCATAGATGGAATTAGATGCTTCTGACAAAAGCCCACCCCAATATAATAGTATTTTTAAATGTCACTAATTAAACAGAAACAGAAACAGTGATATAACGTCATTAGGAACAAACTGACAAAGTAATGAAATATCAGAATGATGGAATAAGAACTTGTGATTTATCTGTCTGCAGGTACACCAGTCAGCAGAATTAGAGTGAAACCAGAAAAGTCTGTATAACACAGAGGAACAGACTGAACTTCCTCTTACATAAAACAAGAAGCGTGTTAATCATACAGCAACTGTAGGATCAATACAGGAGCTGAAAAAGCAAAGACGAGAAGATGGAAAGAGGAGGAAACGTCTGACAAAGAAAGACAACAAAATTGAACACAACTGAGAAGGTCATGTAAATATAGATGGCTGTGTTTTTAGGCCAATTTGACAAACCTCCATGCGGCTGCAGACTGACTCTATAAATAAAACTATTTAGCTACAGCAGCAGGCTTTTCGCTCCATTCAATCTTTCATGCTTTCCTTCTGCTGCTTCTTTCACTCGACTTTAAAAACAAGTTTAATGAGTCAGTTGACTCGCTGCTCTGACTGGCTGATGTTGTCTCATCTGAAAACTCATCTGTGTCCATGGCAACACATGTTTCAGCATCACTTTACGTTTTTTTTTTTGTCTCCGTGGTAACACACGACAAATGTCAGCAGCGTGAGTAAACTTGGTTTCCATAGTAACTACAGTGCCAGCCTGCTGTAGGGTTGATGTTTCCATGGCAATACTCTGACTGGCATAGCAAGAATGTTATTCTATCGTGGCCTGTGACTGTATGAGTTTTATCGATTTGACTCTTAACTATTTGAAAGTTTTCTTTATTTTACACTTTGTCTTTGTGTGTGCTGTGTGTGCAGGTATCTCCTGTACCTCCAGTTGAAAAGAGACATCTACCACGGCCGTCTCCTCTGTCCTTTCGCTGAAGCTGCATATCTGGGAGCCTGCATCATCCAGGGTGAGGCCTGCTAATACTCATTCATTTGATGTAGACTTATTTACAGTGGCTCTTGTGGAGATTTAGTGGATCCTTACAAACTATCATCATGTTTAATTTTTATTTTTTCAGATGTATAAATGAATTTGAGCAGCAGCTCTTCTAAGAAACACGTACTGATGAGGGTACAGCGTCACTCTAATTGTGCAGATTCATGCTGCTTGTATTACAGTTTTAAATGCTAAATGGATTTTGCATTCAATCTAGGTCGTTGCTCTTTGTGTTCAATATTTGCATGCTTTCTTGCTCGTAAATCTCTTGTCAGATGCCATCACCATTTGCACTTCAGTGATAAATCTGAATTGCACTGTTAGAACTTGCTGGTATCTGTGGTTCTGTCCAATTACAAGTACTGCCAAAAACAATTTTAGTAGCCAATGATTGCAGGTGCTATTTCATTTTATTTGTATTCTATTTAAATATAATTTACTAATAGTAAATATCAGACTGTGCTAGTCTAACCAGTGCTATTTAGCTAGCTAGATAGTTTTTCTGATACTTTTTCATTTAGGATTTTGTGAATTGGAGGTATAAATATTACCTTTTTTACAGTGTGGTATCATGAAACATGGTGAACACGTATGAGCATGGGTTAGACGAGGACTAAATTTGGGACGAGCTCCACCATCAAATCAGTCACACCTTTGGTCAGGTCTCTGCCTCATTAACGGGCTCCCTGTGAAGTCATCAGACGGCTGTTGTAATCCTCTGTTTTAAAACACGAGGAGATGTGTATGGACCACTGGGAAAAGGAATGAAAGGAGATTTTTTTTCTTCAGTCGGTTAGCAGTAACAGTTAAGTGTTGTATCACAGCGCAGAGCCACTTGCTTTAATGTGGATTAAGAAAAGAATTAGCTGAGCTGTATCATATAAACGAACCCTTCTGGCTGATACACAAATCGGTGCACTGAGCTAACACTCTCTGATTGGCCCGGATCCCCAGAGAGCAGAGCGTGAATGGCTGAGTTATCTCTACGCAGAGCATGTCTACAGCGAATCACTGGCTGCTCTGATTAACGAGGACAGGTCTCTGTCCCACTTTGTCAGGGTGTTGATTATAGGGCTGGGGAATAGTTTGAGGATTATTGTTTAATTAAACTCCAGGCAACTTTCTGATTTAACCTTTATTATGACTGCTAATTAAGAATGGATTTAAAAGACAAATTAGTGTCTGATAGAAGTTTGTGCAGGATTCAATAATGAAGCCATGACTCCATCAGGGTTATCTGACACGACCGCTTATGAGCATCATCTCCTGTGGAAATAACGTTAACTTGTTAAACCTTTGTTAAGGCTTGAGCAACCAGCAAATATGCTGACAACAAAAATCTGATTTTAAATGAATTATTTGACATTTTGGGACGTGTTCTCTCTCCCCCTTCTGGAGTGAAGTTAGATAAGAAAATTGGTGTCATATCCATCCATTCATCCATTATCTATACACCACTTAATCCTAACTAGGGTCTTGGGGAGCTGGAGTCTATCCCAGCTGACTCAGGGTGAAGGCAGGTTCACCTGGACAGGTCACCAGTCTATCACAGGGCTACACTTAGAGACAGACAACCAAGCACACTCACATTCACACCTACGGACAATTTAGAATCACCAATTAACTTCAACATGTTTCTGGACTGTGTGGGAGGAAGCCGGAGAACCCAGAGAGAACCCACACTGCACATGCAAACTCCACACAGAAAGACCCCAGGCATCCTAACTGGGACGCGAACTGGGAATCTTATTGGTGTTATATCTGTCTAATAAATCTAAGGTTGCAGCCTCGGCATTAAGACTGGAAATGGGTTGCCTGACTCTGTCCAAACATCTCATAATCCTCCTTTCAGCATCTCTAGTTTCAAATTAATATATTTATATACTTGTACTGCCACTTAATGTCCCATAAACCTATAACTTACCACTTCCCATTTGACTAATAAAATCATATATATGAGTCATCAATGAGGGACCTTTAAAGGTGCTGCAAGGTGGATGTTGTTACATTTGGAGAGAGCCAGGCTAGCTTATTCCTGTGCCTCCAGTTCAAGTCCAAGAAGCACATTTCTCAAAGAGTTGAATTATTCCTTGAAAACGGATAATCCAAGCTGCATGTACACATTTGCAACAGTGCTTGACCTGCTTCCAGACCATCTCAGTACTAATGTCACGCTCTCCTTACAGCTGAGCTCGGGGACTACGACCCAGAAGAGCACCCGTCAGACTACATCAGGGACTTCAAACTATTCCCTAAACAATCCCTCAAACTGGAGAGGAAGATTATGGAAATTCACAAGAATGAGCTCAGGTAAGAGATATGTGTTTTTGTGTTTCTGGTTGGGTTTGCTTGTTGTCTGGATCAGGGTCTTTGTTATCAGTTTACCGTTTGATGTCGGTGACGGGCGTAGATGCTCACTCCTGTGATTTGTGTTTTCAAAACGGGCAGCAGAGACAATTTTCTAGTCTGCAGACAATAAAGTGCTGTTTGTTGTTCTGGATAAAGACAAAATTGGATGAAACCCACGGGTTTGTTGTTCGTTGTCTTGCAGAAGGTATTTCAGTTGAGATTCAGTTGAAAGCAAATAAAAAGTGAAATTAATTTGCAGAGGAATGAGCATGAATTATTTATTTCAAGCTTGGCTCGGACACCTTTTCTTGTAGCTGCAGGATGATCTGAATTTAAATTCTGATGAAAAGCACCCTGTCTTAGATAAGTTGGATCATCTTGTGTTTTTTTACCATCCGAGGCAAAGATTTGGGGTCTGTTGGGTCAGTGGCAATGCATATGTATTAAACCTGGTGTTGGCCTTTTTTCAGCAGTACGGTTGCCATGTCTGACCTCTGTTAGCAGAGAAAAACTGGCTGTGGTATTAAATTTAAAAGCAGGGAAAAAGGTGAATTAAAAGAGGAGGAGATCGATGCACCGAGAGGTTTCTGCAAAAAATATGATGATGGCAGTGAAAAAGATGAAAATATGTTTTAATTTACATCCATTTACTGACTAGATATACTGCACAAACAGACTAAGTTCCTACATTATGGGATCACATTAAATACAATATTGTATACATAAATCCCCTCCCTTGGGTTGTTTGTGTGTCGCTGCAGCTGATGAATAATGTTACGAGGTTTGTGACCGTCACACTTACAGTGATTAGAGAACATCAAAGACAAATCCTTCTTTTCCCACAGCACAGAGGGATATGATGCCAAGTGCCCTCTGTCTGCCCCAGCGGCCCTGACTGACAGGATTAACAGCATGTAGATTAGTACTGAGCTGTCGAGACACTTCAGGTGGTTTCTGAATGTTGTTGTGGACTTTATATGTCTGCAAGTTCCATCGTCAAAAACTTTTTTAATGGGTTTAAAGTTTTCCTTTATGTGCATGTAGACAGATGTGTGTGTGTGTGTGTGTGTGTGTGTGTGTGTGCAGTTTTTAATGTTGATTTATGTGTCTGGAGTCTCGATGAGAAGCGGTGTTCCTCACTCGCTTCCTTGACTTTGCAGCACTTAGTCTAATGAGAAAGTAAAGCATCAACACTCTGACCAGACGCTTGGCCTCTGCTAATATGTCTGTTTCTGCAAAACGTTAGCAGATAATCAAAAGCGTTGCCAAAAGTAACGACTTTGATTAATGAGAAATGCTGCTAAAATCTTTCGGTGAACTGTTGTGTCTGGGCGCTACAAATTATTGCTTCTTTCTTTTTTAAACAAAAGTAGGTACAGTGTAATTCATTGTTCAGTCTGTTGATTCTGCTGTAGCATCTGGACACGATACAGCAGATACGCAGTGGACAATATCTGCTCTTTTTAACTCCTAAAGAAACAATATCTTCTCTTTCAGGGGCCAGTGTGCTGCATTAGCAGAGCTGAACATGCTCCAAAGGGCTCACAGTCTTGAAACGTATGGAGTCGATCCTCACCCATGCAAGGTAACCGTAGTGGAGAAGCTTCATCTTCTGGTTAATGTTGGCAATGTGTCCGAAGCAAACCTCCTTCATAATGGTGACACAATTTGTTCTCCAGATCAGAGGGCCTTCATGTCATGTCTTCACTGTATCCCAAGTATCTTTACGTTTAAACGTAATGACTTGCATCCTTTCATTTCTACACAGATGGCCCGAAACTTTCATCCATTTATTAACGTACAGTCATTTGGAGAGTGCCACTTATCGTGTTGTAGTGAAACATCTGGTTCAAATAACTATTATGACTTTATAAAAGTTGTAGTAAATGTTCAGAATGAGCAAATTTAAGTTACACATACTGTTGTCACTGTTAAGTTTTTCTCAGTTGTTATTCTGAGAGCCAGCAGCAAACACATCATCATTTGGGCATCATTATGGAATAAACAAGTGTAAATATTCACCATAGCTGTTCATGCATGACTGTGCCAATTACAGTAAAGACATATACTCACCCGTCCTCTTTACCCTTTGCTTGTTTGCCCTTAATTTGCATATTAAACGGGCAGCTGTGCACATGAATAACTTTCCTGACAGCGAGCAGTCTCTCAGCAAAGCTGTGAGGTCACAAGGGGAGCGACAAGGTTGAGGATAAGTCAACGAGTATCATCAGATCCACATCGGCCTCTAGTTTACATTTGCACCTCTGGAAACATCATCTTGGTGAACTAGAGAAGCCTGGTCTGCGAAGAAACCATCCCTTTCAGGAATCAATTATCTTATTGATTGGTCAGAAAAGATCATGGTTGTAGAAAATCAATGTCATTGATTCCATCTTCAAACTGTTAACACTGGACTGTATTGTTATATACTGTGTTGTTTCATCTCACTTTCTTCTGCTTGTACTGGATTCTTGGTGTAATCTTGTGCTATCTTTATAGAAGGAACGGACTGAATCTGATAAAGAAAAACAATATTTTACAGCTCGCTATTGGCTCGTTCTCATCTTCCATCCAGTCAGTCAGAGAGTGAATCAGGGACACCCTCTCATGAACAGACATATCAGAGCATGCTAAGCAGATTAACGAGATATTTAAATTCTGTCTATTGGAGAGGAGCTCCTTTATCTCCTCCACTCTTGTCAGATACGCTGGTATTCATTTGGTTTGCTGGAAATAGCCGTTATTGCTGGCACTGAAGTGTCGCGCACATGCAGATCTGCTAAGATCAGGAATCAGAGACTAAGCACGAAAATGTGAGAGACACAGAATGAAAAGAGAGTGATTTACAGAGAGGCTCAGTGACAGTGGAGAGGAGATTTTATGATAAACAATATGGGAGAGTGACAAGAACATATTGTGATCTGCTCTGACTCTGGAGCTGTTATTAGTTTCATTTGGCCTCACTTCACCAAACTGTGTCTACGGAGTTTGTATTTTCTCTGCCTTGTTCGTGGTGATAGTTAATTGAGGGTTTGAAGTCTGAAGCAAACATGTGATTTTGTGTAGGAGCCATTACTATGGAGATTATTGATGGCCCACTTGCATCCCTGCTGTTAGCCCACCTGAATCCCATCATGCCATGCGCTGCCTCACACGCTGCATCTGTGTATGTGTGTTTTTTCAGGACTTCACAGGCTCCACTGCTTTTCTTGGGTTCACAGCCACAGGGTTTGTGGTCTTCCAGGGAAACAAGAGGATCCACCTCCTCAAATGGTATGAAATTGTTCCGTATAGCTTAAATATAAACTTGACAACATGGAAATTAAATGTACAACCTTTATCAAACAGTGACTTAATCATATCACAGTAAACTATTTACTAGGAAAAATGTGAAATGATGAGTTTTCTTTGCATCCTGAACACATTGGTTACTGTACAGATGAGATATTTAGCTTCTCGACATGTATGAAATAGACGCTTGAGGCCATAATGAGATTATTTTCATTCAAGTTATTGATTTGATTTTGGTGGAAACATGAAGCATCTGCTGGGGATGCTTTTATCGGTGTTGTGACTGTTGGTCTACAATAAAGTAAACTGATGACCATGAAGTTAAACTAAAAGAATATCCTCTTAAATACTTTTCTCACCTTCAGTCCTTTACTTGAGCATATTCATAGAATTAATGGCAAAATGTACTTTACGTATGAAAAGTAACCATGATACATTTTGTGTTACTGAATTATTAATAGTGATGTTAACATTTACAACATTTAATGTCACAGCTTGTTAACAATTACTTTGTGTACTGTTGGGTAGTTTTACCTGTAAGGGCTGGTCAACAACGAGGACTAGTGCCCCCACCCAGAATTACCTCAAAGCAGGAAAGGCAAAATAATTGAGCCAAGGACAAACCTGTTTGCTGGTTTCACTCGTCATCTAATTTAAAACCAGGCTTTATCTCTAAACTCGAAGATAACTTATTCCAATGTGCTACAAACTAAACAGACAGGCTATTTACCACCACAACACTTTAAAGTAGCAAACCTCACAAAAATATGTCAAAATTTAGGGGATTAAATGATCAGATCCAATAGAATGCATCCCGGACAAGCCCCCATATGCTACAAACCTGAATCAGGAGGTCGCAGTAACAAAATGGTCTAAACCTTGTTTTACATTTATTAAGAAAATGAAATGAAAAGAGTGCATTATGTGGTGAAAAAGTTGGAGAAAGGGTATTTTAAAGCCTCGCAGGTGACACTGATTGGTTAAGAGTGCGATTGGACAACCAGAGCTGAAAGGTACAAAGACTCACCGGGGAATATAACACAATAGAGGAGGATAAACTCCAAACTGTAGCTGTCAAATACATGGAGGAGTATTTGAAGATAAAAGGACAACATTTACCTCTGTGAAGCACAACATGGATGTTATAGTAAAGTGGAAGCACCCTAATTATAAATAATAGATGATTTAGTGTACAGTTAAACAAGTTATTAGAGGTTGGCTAAATTTGTTCATCGGACCAATACCAATATATAGGAAAAAACACTAATATCAGCCGATCGTGCATCCCTGATAAATAATTAATCAAAGTGATCAAATTTAGAATACTGTATGTCTGAGTGTAATTTAAACTCTTTGTTTACTGAGGACACTAACACAGCTTTGCCAAATCAAAAGTTTTCATGATCAAACTAGCTTCTATGATTTAGTCTGTTTTTAACCCTGCACATGTTCTTTCAGTCGTAACATCCTGGTTCTTTGCAGGGCTGATGTCAGCAAACTGAAGTTTGAAGGGAAAACCTTTTACGTCATCGGGATTCAGAAAGAGGTGAGTCGTTGTCTCTAAATAGATAAAAACGATGACTAAGATGTGATGTGTAGTTTCTTACATCATGATGATGAAGATATATTCTCGTACTTAATTCATCATCATGTTGACCTGATAGATCCCAACCTCTGACATTTACTCAATACTCCAAGTGAACTGTACATCCTTCATTCTCTTACCTCCTTCTTCCCTCCCTTCTTCCTTTCCTTTCCCCCTTTCCTCATCTGTGTAACGGTTACGTCAGATAAATGTGCTAAAAAACGGTACTGTGTGTTATCCTGTCCACCATCACACACACTGTATATGTGTGCCGCTGTTTCAGATCTCCTTAACAGGCAGGATTCACTGTAACAGGATGGTGGGTGTGTTACGACTAACCTCCTCACTCACATTATGTGTCGACTGTGACCCAAATATGAGACTCTGTTACTTCGTTCATGCCACATCATGTCTTTGACAAGCATAAAATATAGACAGAAGAACTCTTTGCACATTTATTTCCTGAGACAGGTGCGTAGGAGAAGGAAAAGCTTTTCCTAAAGTTTTGAACAGATTCTTGCACACTGTCGAACTTGCAAAATTACATTCATTCACAATGTTTTGGTGCTGGACTTTCATCTAGAAAATGGTTTGGCGCAAAAAAAGTCATCTTAATTACTCTACCATAAATGCCCATGTCTGCAAGATGGCTCAGTGGTTAGCATCGTCGCCGGTTCACGTCCCGGTGAGGACACCCGGGATCTTTCTGTGTGGAGTTTGCATATTCTCCCCTTGCAGCGTGGGTTCTCCCACATGTTCCAAAAACATGTTGAGGTTAATTGGTGATTCTAAATTGTCCGTAGGTGTGAATGTGAGTGTGCGTGTGCTTGGTTGTCTGTCTCTAAGTGTAGCCCTGTGATAGACTGGTTACCTGTCCAGGTGTACCAGCCTTCACCCTGAGTCAGCTGGGATAGACTCCAGCCCCCCCGCGACCCTAGTGAGGATTAAACAGTGTGTAGACGATGGATGGATGGATAAATGCCCATGTAGTATTGGACGGCCTGAATTAGAAAACCTTTCATCTGCTTTCGATAACATATATAAAATTTGAATTCTAGATATATTTCCAATTAATTACAATGAAAGGATAAAAATTAAAGGATTAAAACTTACATATGTAGATGAACCTGCAGGAATTACACAAAATACATAAATCAAGCAGATTGCATTTAACATAGCAAAGAGGAAAGATTAGCAACACTCATAAATTTAGTCAACACCTTCCCCAGTGCAATATATCAATACAGTCAGCCTCTAATGCTTTCAGAGTCTATGCAGCATGGTTGCATACATATATAAATGAACACGTCACATTGGTAAATTAATCTACTGATGTTTGAGCATTTTCTCTCACAGACTGTCTGGAGCTGGAAATATTATATTATACTAGTTTATCATACAGATCCTTAGTAGTTTTTCAAGCTAGACAGTGTGCTGGAGTCTGTTTGGAAGTGTAAAATATTAGACGTCTCTCCTTGAAACGCAGACCGCAAATATTGACTTTACTACAACAGCTGTCTCGCATTTGGGACACATGCTCCATCCGTATGCTTGATGTTTACCATCCAGCAGAGCTGTGGTAGATTCTGAGCAGCAGTCGTATATCTGCGCACTTTACTTCGCAGCTGATATTGCTCTTTAGCTCCTCCAGTAACCCCTCATTGATTCAGCTAGAAGTGGCTTTAAAAAAAACCCTTGAAAACGGAGATCATTGTACATAAAGCCAGCTTGCTCTTACATCTACCAGTCAGCCAGCTCATCGGTCAGTCGGTCAGCCTCATAACTGTTCTTTTCATTACAGAAGCTTAAACCAGCTCTTTCATCGCTGCTTAACTTTGTCAGTCTGTCTGCCTGTTTTGTCTGTTTGGCAACTCATGAAGGGCTGAAGATGCAGTTTTATCTTGTGTGTTTCTGTCTCTTCTCTCTGTGTGTAAACATAGTCATCACTGGTGAGTAAATACAAGCAAATATAATAGCAGCACAAAGCACTGTTGTACTTAAACCCTCGATCTGACACCTCTCCCTACAGTCCCGACCTCACCTCAGCTTATGATTGGAGGAACCTTTTTCATCTTTTTCGTTTTCGGTCACCATCGTTTGTGTCATTTTGCTTTGTGTCACGGTACATAAGAGTTGTTTCATTCGGTGTATTTATTCATTTTTTGTTTGCAGTCAGCTCTGCAAACTGTTACTGTGTGTGTCTGTCGATGAAAATATTTGATTTGGGTTAGTGTCCCCGTCCTGTGTGGAGTCCTTCATAACCACATTGTCAAAATTAGCCATTATGAGTAAATTATAGATTATGCAGCATTACAGTGTGATGCATTATCTATAACTCCATCACTGCCTTTTATATAATGTCAAATCAGGAAATTGTTGATTTCTTCATTTTAATTGTGTTCCTATAGGTGTGTGTGTGAGTGTGTGTGTCTACATGCGTCATTTCTATAAAGATGTTCCACTTGTATTTTTAAGGATCTGAATTGTGTGTCGATGTCTGTTTTGCACCGCACTCACTCCATGACTTCACCTCCGTTTACTTTAACCTGCCTGTCCCACCTTGAGCTGATGGCAGCTTTATTATAATATTGAAATGGCTTTTAAACAGCAACTGATCAAAGTTATCATATTTTTCAAGCTCCCACCTCTGTGGTTATCTATTGGAGCCGCAGCTTAGATGTAAATCCAAAACAGTTTAACCTGCAATAACAGAAATATCAAAGTCATTTGTGTAATTGCTGCTAGTGCTCCTGAACGCTGTGTGTAATACTGCATGTAAATGTCTCTCCTCAGAGGTGAGGAGCAGTAAAATCAGCGTCATTAAAGGTCAAGCCTTGCTGTACAAGCAGTTTTTGCATGTCGGCCAAAGTGGGACGAAAGACTGTTAGTTATATTTTAAACATCCAGTTCTGGCACTTTCACCTGCCTTTGAGCACACACACACACATGGCCACTGCAGCGCATGTGTGTAAACAGCACATACGTACCTAAAAACAACGGCTGTGTGACAATGAGGGGGCTGAGCAATCTGGCTGACTAAGTGGAAAAACAAAAGGGGTAGAAAGTGGACCACTGCACCGCTGTGAACTGTACCACGAGGACCAACTCATGACTCAAAGCCCCCAATCTTCATGCCTGTTACCGTGTTACAGTCAGTCACTGTCGTGGTATTGATTTCACTGTTTCTCCTCTGCCTCTCGCTCACCCTCCATCCTCGTTGTTGAGCATTATTGATCCGGTATCTCGTGTTACCAGGCACACAGGACTGAAAACTAGACGTTTACAGGAATAAATCCCTCGTCCCAGCCCTCAAAGACCCATTTTCTGCAAGCTACAAGCCCTTTTACTGCTGAGCGCTATGGCCAAATCACTATATCTGTTTTTTATGGTGCTAAGCTTACAGCTTTGGGTCTGTGGGTCAGCATTTTACTCAGCTCCCTCACAATTGTATTCAGCACTTCTCTTGTCCTTATTCACACACTTTTCAGGAACCTCGTTTCTCTTCCTCACTGTCTTTCCCTCTCTGTGTCTTTGTCCTTTTCTGTGCAGAAGAAACTGGTGTTGACATTTCACACCTCAACCCCTGCAGCGTGTAAGCACTTATGGAAGTGCGGGGTGGAGAACCAGGCCTTTTACAAGTGCGTCTGCAAACACACACACACACACACACATATAATTACCTTTATTTAGATTGGCCTTAAATCACTAAGGCTGTGCAGGATTATTTAACCCTAAAAAGAATAAGATTGTGCCCTATTTAAAAAGAAAAAAAGAAAGAAAGAAAAAAAAGAAAAAGGCAATATTTTGTTACCTGTGGTGCCATTAAAAAAAAAAAAAAAATCACAAAGTGCAGTAACTTTCCACAATTAAAATACATTCCCTAACCCTAATTATATATGAGATCTTGTGTAATTTTGGGATTTTTTAATGTTAAGTGAAGAATATTTACCCGTGTAAAAACAATGCTTTTAGATTATAAATTGATGAAGATACATTCATTCAAATTTCTGTCATGAAATCTTCTGTAATTCTACAAGAGCTCTCATTTAACAAACAAATCTGTCTAAAGTTACAGAACAAATATTTCTGTTTTCTGTTTCACTAATTGTGTCTAATTATGGAAATTATTTACTGTATTAAATTATAATTGAACAGTTTCATCTATCAAATAAAAAGGAAATATTTGTGAAATTAAAATTGAAATTTTATTTATATTAACAGTTCTAGTTTTATTTCATTTTATTGTTATTTTTGTGTGTTTTAGAACAACAGAAAAACTTCTCTAAAATAAATGTGAAAAATTTGAGATTTTTTATTTATTTATTTTAAATGGTGTGGCTCTATTGCATCAGTTCTTTTATTTATTTAAACGTATTTATTTAGAATTATCTTTATACGTCATTCCCTTTTTTTCTGTTGAACGTCACATTTGGCAAAAAACATTTCCTTTAAGTTCCACTTTTATTTTTAGCACGTCATCAGCCTTTCTCCTCGTTTTATCTCGTCTCTGTGCCGCTGCTACAATATGCTGCCGTCCTTCACTGGGGGAGCAGCTGATTGCTCCGAGGCCGTCACTCTGATCTGTAAAGACGATTGACCCTGCTGGCATTGCAGGAATGGAAACAAGCCTGTGGTGAAGGCAAAATCTATGACAATAGAGACTAAACTCTACTTCTTCATGTGGTCATGGAGAATGCACAGCAGCAGAGAAAATGGATAAGCTCTTTACCTCCGTCAGGGTTCAGTGGGAATCTCAGCAACGCGGTTCAATAACTTGAAATTGATGGAACCACACAGGAAGCAGTTGCTGGTGTTGTTGCACAAAACAACCCAGAAACATCCCTCCTTTTCCCAGCAGCTTTTCCTGCTTATGCTTTCTGCATGCAGAGAGAAATGAGACCAGAATCTGATACGTCCTATTTTCTCAAGCTGATTTCATGAGGTTCAAGTTTCATACTTGACCTTGGAAACAGCAGTTGAGAAAAGCGGTTGAGGCCCATCACATCACTCTCCTGAAGCCGTCGATAACATCTGAGAAGCTGTGCGAGAACAAAGGGAAAGGGAAAAAATAACCGAATGAAACAACAAACGGGAAAGGATGCGCTGTGAAGAAGGTGTGGAAGGGGATAAGAAGGATCACCGGCTGCGAACAGCTGGTCGGAGGAGTCGAGCTGCAGGAGATGAGATTTTCCGAAGGTTTGACGCAAGAATTGGAGGCTGCTTTGTGACTGATGTCTCTGTGGTGCCCTTCCTCCTCCACGCTGTCAGTCACGCTGAAGGTCTTACTGCTCCCACTTCACTGCAGTCATGTTTTAGTTTTAAAATACTTTCATCTCATTTTCCTTTGCTTTTTTTTTTTCCCTATGTGCAGCAATGAACCAATTTCCTCACCAATCCTCTTGTTTAAATGCACACACACATAAATGAAAAATCTTACAAAAGCAAGACGTAGTTATAAAGTTGTCTGTGATGATAGCTGCTGCTGTACAACCCTGCAACGACAGCAGCTCGTGTGTCTCTGAGACAGCAGCCAGAGCGGGAGTGGATGTCATCTCGGATGTCAGACAAGCATCAGAGCCGCTAAATCAAATCAGAGTGAATTGAGTTTGTAAATGGCAGCCGAGCAGAGCTTTGCGGACACATGGTGGTAGGTGTGTGTCTCTGCTGTGGCACCATCTCTGCTGATCTGGAGTCTGGCTTCCCGTGATTAATGGTCCTGAACCAAAACATGAAGGTTTGACCTGCAGCATAAACATTTAAAATGAAAAACCTTCCAGTAATAAGAGAGTTAGCAAATCACCGTTACCTAAAATTTGAAGGGTGATGTGATGGTTAAACATACAGTCATAACCAAAACCTGTTTAAAAAGTTTTATTCACATGTATTATTCAACTTTAAATGCCAGGTAATAACGAACTTCTTTGCATGTGTCTCTTTCTATTTCTTCCTGACAGATGTGCGAAGTCGAGTCAGATAAAGACGGTTTCCAGCAGCAACATCTTCTTCAAAGGCAGCAGGTTCAGATACAGGTGAGACGGCGTTCGAGTTAGTTGTCATAAGTGTGGGTGCACTTCTTTGTATGATACGAGAGAGAGAAAAAGATGTTTAATATGTGATAAAAGAAAGCAAGAAGGATCTGCGTGAAGGGAGCTGGAAAACAAAATATAGAGGAACCACTTAAGAGAAAGTTCTGCTGGAATTTAATCGATGACATTAATTCATTTAAACTCAACCACAATCTTTCAGTCCTTTGCAGCTGCACCTGACATTTTAATGTTGATATTGTCATTTAAGTCTGCGTGTTTACTGCCAAAAATCTTAGAGCCTGAGCCACATCAACCAAACCTTACACACTGCATACAGCGTTTGGTTTAGTTTGGGCTCATCAGATTCAAGATTCAAGATTCAAGATTCAAGAGTTTTATTGTCATATGCACAGCAAAACAGGTAGTTGTACTACACAATGAAATTCTTACTCTGTTCAATCCCCCGAAAAAGACGATACATTAAAGATAAATAAAACAAGCCAATAAGAACAGAATAAACAATTAAAAACAACAGTAAAGTGTTTCAGTGTTACACAGTGTTCAGGGCCCCGCGTCACCAAATGCTGCTTCTCCTGGTTGCACATCGGCATCTATATCCCGGTTTCTCTGATTTACTGACCCTAATAACACAGGAAAGCCTCAGTATAAGTCTGTTATTGGAGCCATGTTATCCCTGATTCTGCTCTCAGACAAAGCTCTTTACCCGGCTTACACTTCAGTCTGCTCCATTTCATCAGCTAGCTAAAGCAGTTTGGCTTAAGGGCTCAACGATGAGTAATAGCATATGGTGGAGTTTGTTCTGAAATATGGAAATTGGTCATTTGTGCAAATGCAAAACAGGAGAGAGAGATTTGTATCCCACGAATGAAGGTAATTTGTGCGAAGCAGAGCCGAGCAGATCAGATCTTTATCCAACTTGTGTTGATCCAGCCGAGTCCGGCGCGGTATTGATGCGACTGTCTCTTGAGATGTGGAGTGCATGTCTACCGCACCAGATGTTTCATTCCACCCCCTAATTTACGATCCAACCATCAATCTCAGCAACAATAGGCTAATGGGTGGGATGGTGGAGCCCGCTGGCTTCAAACTGAGTGATCACAATCCAGAAACTCCAACTGCCCAACAATCAGACTAATGGAGTTGCGGACCCTGCTGGCAGGAAACTGTCTGCACAGCAGAAACAGTCAGGGGCAGCTCTGTTTATGAGCAACAACGGCAAAACTGTTTTATTTTATGATGCTAACCGCCTCAATTGTCTGTTGATGCCTGATTTATCTCAGACGTACAGCAGCCAGCAACAGGGACACAAAGAGAGCATCATGTACTGATTTCAGCAGCGTTCTAGTGGCTTTAAAAACAGATTAAAGAGTCGACTAGTGCATAGAAATGATTTCAGAAAAGGTAGCTTTAAAACACAACTGATTGATTCTTTAATAGTCTTACTAGTTTGGACATTAATGCTCTGTCAGTGTCACCTGTTGGCTCCTTTTTATTCTTTCTCATTTCTCATTTTTTTATCTTGTGAAGTTTTTTTGTCGTAAAATTGTCCTTTTTTTATCGTACTTGCGCTCCACTTCCTAATGTGTCTGTCTCCTTGTTAGTGGAAAAGTAGCCAAGGAGGTGATAGAAGCCAGCTCCAAAATTCAGAGAGAGCCACCAGAAGTGCGCAGGTAAGACCGAGCGACGAATCACCTGCACTCATTCACAGTTACGCAAAGTTTAAAAACTATGCAATCAGTGTTGTTGATGATTTTTTTTTTGTTTTGTTTCAGAGCCCAGTTTGGTCAGAGTCGAAGTTTTAACTCTCTGAGCCACAAAAATCTCATCATGAACATGGAGCCTCTGGTACCTGCACTGCCCTCCACCAATGAGTACGAGGAGACGGCGGCGGACAGCGGTAGGACCATACCGCACACACAACACACACACTCACACACACTCGAGCCCTCCTGTCAAAGACCTATGGAAAGTCACGCGGAGCCTCCCTTGTGTAGGAAGAAGCAGCACATGCACAACACTCAGACAGAGAGCGTTAATTGAGCAGCTGATGCTCCTATCCTTCCATCACTCTTGTCTCCCTGGAGACACCAATTGCAGCGCACTAAAAATACCCTTCCCATGATCCTCCCTGAGGATCCCACCATGCCCGTGTGTGTCCATGTGTCTATGTGTGTGTATGTGTGTGTGTGTGTGGTTCAATAGGGTAGCAGTTTGTGACATCACAGAAACACACCCGGTTTGTGTTATCAGGAAGGAAGAGTCAATGAGAAGTTATTTATTAGGCTCCCAAGTGTCTCTGTTTATGTGCTTGTATGTGTGTGTGTACTTCTGTGTGCACTTTTGTTTATTCATTTTCCTGTTTATGGGTGTTTGTGAACAGATACTGGTTGCATTTTTCAGTCCTGCATCATAAAAGTAAAAGTCATATGGACTGCATTTACCTTTCCCAGTAAACCCTGTGTACATGATGACTGAATGAATGTGTATCCGTACTAAATATTCAGTTTTCTTTGTTTTAGCATTTTTCAGCGCTTCAACAGATTGTTGTCCCAGTGCTATTTTCTACACTTGTTTCTTTTATTCGGTGGTTAGCATCGTTGCCTCGCAGCTAGAAGGTCGCCGGTTCGCGTCCCGGTGAGGACAACCGGAATCTTTCTGTGTGGAGTTTGCATGTTCTCCCCGTGCAGCGTGGGTTCTCTCCGGGTTTTCCGGCTTCCTCCCACAGTCCAAAAACATGTTGAGGTTAATTGGTGATTCTAAATTGTCCATAGGTGTGAATGTGAGTGTGCTTGGTTGTCTGTCTCTAAGTGTAGCCCTGTGATAGACTGGTGACCTGTCCAGGGTGTCCCCTGCCTTCACCCTGAGTCAGCTGGGATAGACTCCAGCCCCCCACGACTCTAGTGAGGATTAAGTGGTGTATAGATGATGGATGGATATTTCTTTTATATAGTAATACACTACTGGCAATTTGCTAACAGTGTTGCTCTCTAAAAGCATTGCCCTTTTAGGTGTGTATGTAGTGGAGTATAGGTTAGAGACAAGGTTTAGTATATAAAGCAGTAAGTAGTCAGAACCGACTGATTTATCACATAAAACTGATCACTGACTGTTTTTATGGGGTATTTTGCATTTTAAGAATTTCCTAAAAGGTTTTCCAGGTACAACTGTGTGGTGCTGTACAAATTTTAGGGGGTTTAGTTGTTTTTTTGTGGTTAAAAAAAAAAGCCCTGAGCTAATATTCATGTATTATTTATGCTTGATTGGAAACTTTATTCTCTTCTAATGTTTAATCGTGTACTTGCCCGTAGACAAAATTTCCATGTTCCTCTGACCTGCTGCACACAAAAGACTTTGATCTGAATTAATGAACAGGGAGTTTATGCTTTCTTTCCCCTCCTCCTCTAACTACTATCACATTACAGAGTTCTCTCCAAAGAAACTTCTTTGGAAACTATTGAGGAGCACAATGAAGCATCACCCGCAGAATTACGCAGCCACAGTTAAATCAGTCCACGGGAAGGTGGAGGAGTAGGATCAGTGTTTCCCCTCATGAGGTTACGTGGCCGAATAAAGCACAAAAACCAAGGAAGCAGCACAGAACAGTTGGTATTGTGAGGCTTTTTTTCCCCAGGACACAACCTTCCCACAGCAGATTTATGTAGTCCATAAAAGGTACTCACAACACAGTGGGTTTTAGTGTGTCCCTCGTGACATTTTTTTTGCATGTTATCATTACTCTCTGTCGCTTTTCCCCGCCGTTATTATTCCTGACACTCTCCTTGGCGACCTATTATCTGATTGAAGCATAAATCTTGTTGTTAGGGAGAAGAAAGCAGGTGGGGAAGAGCGCAGGGTAAGGTTACACGAGATGATGCCAGAGCAGGGATGGAGAAAAGGATGGAGAGAATGTGAAGGGAGGAGAAAATGGAGTGCGGGGCAGAGAGAGAGAATGAACAAAGGTTAGGAAGGATGCGTGGTCAATGTGGAGGTATGGATGTACGTAGCAGGGAAGGGAGGGTAAATGTAATACAAAAATGGAAGGTCATATTACAGATAGCAGAGAGGTGAAAGAAGAGGCAAGCAACAATGAAGAAGTCAGTTGTGAAAGAAAAAAACAGAAAAAAATCTGAAATCCTAAAATCCTATTTCTGTTTCGTGGGTGTTGTTATATTTGTATAGTTACCCAGAAGAACCTGCACACGCTGATACAGAACAGGTGATGAAAATGGAAGTCACACATGAGTAAAGGTTTTAAAAATTTAATTTACTGTAAACTAAAGCCATTAAATCCTCATCTGAAGGAGCTCATGGAGGCTTGGAAGAGGGAGAAAAGAGCAGCGCTAAGTGTGGAGTCATTTCAAACACGCTAAAGGTGCGATCACGTTTCATACTGATGCTGTACGACGGACAAAATCAAGCGTTTCCTGCTTGCAATGCGATCTCTAAGCGGGCTCTGGGGGGAACCTGCTGGTCAGAGTTCACCTTTGTTCAACCTTGACTGAGCGGATGAAGCTCCATCAGCCAAACAGAAACACTGACGCTTTGTGATGGGAAATGGAGATGATGTTATTCTGGTTTGTTTCCTCATTATTTTTAGGACATTGTCACACTACCAGACTACAAACTGTATCACTTTCCCTCATTGCTTACAGTTTCTGATTGCTCTGATCAGTGTTTATTTACTATCTGCACAGGGCCACAACTTCGCGTCTTTTTTTAGGGGCCAGTGGCACCGAATTAGTATTGAACAGAAATGTAATGCCACCTCACCTTAAACCATCTCCTCATGTCACCTTCTTCTCTGCCTGTTGGCTCCTGAGCAATGAAGCCAAACCAGCCACACAAAACCTGTCCTTTACTGCCTCTTTGACTATAATAACCATAAAATTTAAATTATTTTCATACACAATTAAAATTTTTGACATAAAAAATCTTTAAAATGCATTCACAAATGTATCGTAATTATAGAAATAATTCGTATCTAATATATTAAACAGTTCCATCCAAGTTTAATACTGTAAATGCATTTATAAAATTAGATTTGGGACAATTATCAGCTAAAACAAACACTGTTGCATAAATTTGCGTGTTAAATTAGAGCGATCTGGTGCAGTTAGAGAAATGTTTGCAACAAAAATGTTGAACAAATGTGTTTTCATAAGTGTATGTCTATAAACAACGGTGATTTCAACATACAGTTAGTCACTATGGATATTCTATAACTTATTAGATATATGATATAGGTAATATCGTTGTTTCTACACATGTAAATAGTCTTTTTTAAAACATTTTAAAAAGCCAAATACACATGGTTTCATGTGAAATCGAGGCTTAAAAATTTATTTGAATTAATCTAAATTACTGTCATTTTATTAAATGGTTTTATGAGATGTTTTTTGTGCTCCAACTGTTTTTTTTTTTTTCCAGTCTATGCTGTACAATTATCTCTGTAGGCCAGTATTGTAATTCAATCAGTCCAAACGACAACATGCAGGAGGTGGGAGGACCTGTTCAAGCCCTGAATAGTGTCTGAAGGTTCTCTTCCCAGCAGAGTCCAATTAGAGCAACCTGTAGCCTGAGAGACAAAACTTAGGGGACAGAAAATGTAACACAAACAAAAAAAAGTCAACTTATCGTCACTGGATGCTATGTGTTTGTACTGCTCCTACCACTAAGTTGTCATTGCTGTCTTGTGTTGTATCTTTTATCCATCCATCCATCCATCCATCCATCCATCCATCCTCTCATCCTCTCTCCTTTCTCACCTTCCTTCACTCCCCAACATCGCCCTGAACCCTCGTCTTCAGGCCTTCACACGTGACCAATGCAATCGCTGCTGTCGTACCATCTCTCTCTTCAAACTGTTGATAGACTTCGTCCCTCTCTCTCTCTCTCTCTCTCTCATGCTTTTTTTTTGTGAGTGAATTTACTGCCATCCCCCACACTTTATCTGCCTCTCCTCCTCTCTCTTGCCCTCTCTGTCTTCCTCTCATCTCCCGTCATCCCATTTAGAAGGAAATCAATTCTTCCTCTGCTGTCTCAGTTGTTTGGTTTGGGAGGGGCAGGAGGCAGTCATCAAATCAAGGCCTCGTGCACCGCAGACAGGATACAGGCTGAGTAATAACACCAGATTCAATTTGACGCGCTTCCGTTTGCAGTTCATGCTACTTGTTAATTGTTAAAAAGATAAATAAATAATACATAGGTTTCATAATAACAATAATAAGCCACTGATGAGCATTTTTTGCTCCTGTCATTCTTTCATTCTTTCAGTTTTTACAGTTTCTGGCTCTAATGAAGGGTGTAAATTTGGCTTGTGTTTTTTCTTTTTTTTTAAGACTTTACAAATCCACTGCCAGGTTTTGAGCTTCAAAGAGTCAAAATGCTGACTGTGGAGAGGTTGGTGACACATGATGATGCCAATATCAGGATTACATGATACATATTTTGTCAGATTCTTCTCTCTATTAGTTGCACTCACCAAACGTGACCGAGGTAGTTGGATAAAGAATTCTAATCTCAGCACACCAGTCCCTGGGTGAAGCGGTTTGTCGGGTTGTGCTGTACTTCCAGAAGGTTATAAAAATCCCCTCCTCCTTTTTACTCATAACTTTTCCATAGCTGGACGTGGGAGCAGCTGCAACAAGCATCAGTCTTGTTTTGCTTTCACCCTGTTGATGTAATCCGACAACACGTCATACAATCTAGTTGATTTCAAACGCCCCCACTCACCTATAAACAGTCAAATGCTGACTGTTTTTTAGGAAGACTGCTGCAAGGACTTTGGGATAAAGTGTCCTCGAGATGGTCTAGGATCACCAGCTATATTCAGAGCACTAATCTCAGCCATTAGAGGGGAAACAAGAAGCTGACCCAAGGTCAGTGCTGACCTTGTTCTGTTTGTACAGCCTGTTCCCTCCTTATCTACCAAAATCCATACTCGCCCACTGGCACACACACAGTGGTTGTGTTTTGGCTGGGGTTGCATACTTGTGCATGTTTCATGGGGCATCATTTTCGTTTTTTGTGCCTTCATCCACACTCCTGCATCACCCAACACAAGCTGAGACATCGGGGGTGATACAACAAGTTTAACATTTTCCTGAAGCAAACTATTGCACACTCTGATTAATGTCAGACTTCTTCAGCGTCCGCGCTCACTCATCTGTCATCACAGAGCTCAGAGGAGTGTGTTTAAGTAAATGAAGTTTGTCTTTGTGTTGGAGAGTAGCCGAACAGAAATAAAACTGTCTTGTGAGGGGAAAGACAGAGATAAAGAGAGACTTGCACAGAGGAAAAGAAAGTGATCCCATCCTGGGTCGGGCCTGCCCCGCTGTAATCAGAGTTAGATTAGCTGCCCCTCTGCAGTCAGGACCACCTGGTTATATATAGAAAGTGCAGCTTTGGGCCTGATCCTCCTCTAATGCCCCCTCCACTCTTTGTTAACATCGCTGACATTCACAGGAGGGCCCACCATGTCTGTGTACGAGAGAGAGAGAGAATGCGTCTGGTGGACGTCTTTCGTCATCTCTTTTGGTGTGTGCGTCTTTGTCCACATGGGTTTGAGTTCAGCTGGCGGCTCGGTCAGTCGGGGTGCGAGGATCTCTCTGCAGACAGCTGCTCGGAGGTTTGTCGTCAGGTTGAATGATGGAGCTTCTTGAGCACAGAAACAGCAGTGATGTTGGCGGCGGCCTCATGCAGGGTGGTTTGGAATTGGGAGTTAGCGACAGTGTTGGCGAGACCCTGCTCTGTGGGGGCAGAACAGGGGGACTCGGGCTCGACATGACGCCAGAGATAATGCAGGGCGAGGGGATGGAGGAGGGACAGGCCGGGCCTCTGGAAGTGTTCCACCCAGGGGAGGCTGCAGACGAGCGAGCATCATCAATAGTGGTGGCCGAGGCCTTGAGGTGCCAGGTGAAGATAACGACGCGCCGCAGCCTGCACCTTCGTATAGCCAATCACACAGCGCGGGACGTTTATGTGCGACTGGTGGGTCACGGGGGACGCATCGCTGGAACCAATACTGCACATCAGAGAAATACACTGGAGCAGAGTAAGACGAATGGCAGCATGGTCAATGGAGTGCAACTTTTTACAGTTCACTAAGGTGTCATTTAGAGAAGTTTCTATTAGCTGTTGGTGCACACACACACACAAGTACAGGCCTTTCCATCTTCCCTGTGCAGCTTTAGACATGTATTTCTACAAAGCAAACCAAACACACATTAACTGTGTGAGCTTGTCTAACTCAGTAGTTGGGTTGCCAGATCTGTTGTGGCAACCGCATGGTGCAAACTGTAAGTGTAATCTGACAAACATCCTGTGACTCTCAAGAGGCTCCTTTGATGCAAGTGTATGTGTGTGAGTGTGTGTTTGAAGCGTAAACCACAAATGTACTATGCATTTCTCTTGCTACATTATACAGTATGCAGCTCATTAAAAAAACATAATACCTACAGCATAGAGCAGCTCTTCAGCATGCTATGTTTTTATGTGTGAATGGCAAACAGATTAGTAGTGAGACAGAAGGGCTGAAAGATTTGAAAAAGACACTTTAATCATTTGTATGATAGATTTTTATAACAGAAGGATTGAATGGAAGAGAAGAGAAGTGCTCAAGCTTCAAGCTTTTATTTCTGTATGTTGACAGGTTTCGGCTTCAAAGGCAACATTAGTACTCAGTAATTTAGAAGTGAGAATAAAGCTTTATTTTATTTAACAGCTCGGCGATATAAAAATGATTACTGTTAAGTATTATTATTTATTAAAATGTGATTTACCAAAGGGTGCTACATGCACTTACACTTATCTGTTTGTACTTCGGCTTTCAGGCTTTAGGTTTCCCTCACTCGCTTCATTTTATGGCCCTTCTGCTGGTTTATCTCCTGCTGAAGTGTTCTTGACTCTGACACTGAATCTTCACCGGTTTTCGGAGTGATACAGTTAATCCTGCTTTTCTCTTGAGACTCGAGGGGCAGGTGAAAAAGGCTGTTTCCTCGCGAGTAAGTGGAAAACATTTACCGTTATAGTGATTTACCGCTGGAAGGCGAGATTGTAGCTTTGTAGATGCAAAAGTCAAAGCACAGCACATCATTTATCTTTATAGCACTTTGCAAAAACAGCTAAAAAAAAAAAATGCCTCGGAAGAAAGTTAGATTTTAAACTTCAGTTGAAGAAGCGGTAATTCTTCAGAGATGAGCAGGTTTAGAAGATTTTTTTTTTTTTTAGCAGAAATGTAAAAAAACAAAAAGAGTAAACCTTTGCTTCAATAAATAGCAGGTTTATTCTTGCACACATGCGCAGTCGTGCAGGTAATTATACTCTGGAGGTGATTGGGTGCTGAAGAAGAGGTTGCTTAACAAAGATTAATTGGTCTGTTGTCACAGAGGGGAAAGAACGCCGCTCTGCGCGTGCATCATTGTGTGTCTGCGTGCATGTACGGTGGCCACGCAGGAATGTAACACCTCGTGGTGTGAATCACCTCATCTGTGGAGGCGCTCGGCTCTGAGCTGACAGGACAGAAAGCAGGCGGGATCACAAATGGGGAAACAGCATCTTAGCCGTCTTGTATCTTCAGTTAAAAGTCTCAACTCAGGATTGCTTTCTTCTGACTTGCAAATATGTTTTTTTCTCCTCCTGATGTCAGGTTTGCTCAGTCATGAGCTGAGCTGAACTTTGCCTCAGACATAGTTTACAGTCAGCAAATATTAACGTTACTGGTTGCATGTAGGGATTCTAGTCTTTAGCCTTCTGAGCTTAAAAGGTGCTGTGATGAGATACTTTAGGATAGCTGGACGGTACAGACATAGTGAATGAGGTATAAGAATACAGCATAACGAGTGTTGAAATACGTTTTTTTTCCTGTATGATCATCTGAAGATTATCTTCATGCTGTATTCTTTGGGGTTTTTGTTTGAGCTGATTCTGTCAAATATGCAAAAGAAAACAGATTTTGATGTTTCAGCTCAAGACACATGACTATATTACATATTATATCCATTGTATTGCACAACAGTAGCATCAGCATCATATAATCAAGTTTTCTTGGTATCATCATTTATCAGACACGCTTGAAACCCAAGTGTGAAAATATCCTGTGATTTGTAGCTTTACACATGATAAATCTGTTTCCAGTAACACCCTGCTGCAGCTATTGCTCCACTGTGAGAAGATGAATTACATTAAACTCATTTTTATTTCTGGCCAAGTCTGGTGCAACATTTTACCAAACAAGTCATGTTCCGACGGTGTAAATTTGCATCTCTCTCTACTTCTAGCATCAACAGCTCTGCCGTGTTTTCCTTCGGCTCCTGCTTCCCTGTTTCTCCAGTACAATACGTGGCTCTTTTCTCCTCCCCGAGTTCAGACACTTGTTGGCTTTTTGCTGACTCTGTTTCCATGGTAGCTGTCACCACTTGATCCTCAGGCTCACCGCTCTCTCGCTCTTTTTCTGTCCTCTCTCCTTTAATTTCTCTCAATTCATATTTGAATCAGTTGGCATGGCAACTGATTAGTCAGTTTGGCCATGAGTTTCGGTGGCTCGTTCTTTGTATAAGCGAGTATTAAGAGTTTCAGGTTTGTGGCGAACAAAAACATCATTCTATCACATGGATATTTGTGTCTTAATCATGTGAACTAAGAGGCTACAGATTCCTCAAAAAAAGAAAATCATTTGTTTGGTTAATGTATGATTAGCCATTAAGTGTGGTTGTGATTTTTCCACATGTGTGATCGCGAGATGGTCGGGATTAGAGGTGTTGAAGAGCTGAGTCATATATCAGCGGACATTTACCCCCCCAGCTCCTATTTAATCCACCGCAGGAAGACAGCTGGGCTTATTTTTAACACACACGCACACACGTCTTGATCACATATTCAGATTCATCGTGTGCTTTGGGGCATCAGTTATGTATCAAGAATTCATCATTAAACCAACACCTCAGAGTGAAGAGCGTCCACACGCAGCTGCTCTGTTGTCAGGCTGCGTCATGTCATCGGGAGTGACGTGCATGGTGCATCATTTTTATTTTAATCAAGTGATAAATTAGATTAAGCACAAATGAGCACGTTTGAACAGCGTCATAAAGTTCATCCCAGCCTGAGTTGTGTCACTCACACGCAGCAGCTGGAGTTTAATGTCTCCTGCCAGCTTCCCAAATGCAGTGACGTGCAGCTGCAACATGCAAGAGTTAACAAACTGTAGGATAGCTGTCACATTTTCAGGGCATTTATTTAACACCGGAATGCTAATTTTTCATTTTATGTGGCATCTTTAAGTAATACAGGGGCGCCATCGTGTGGTTTAAGTGTTCAACTGCAACATGAAAACAGCTATGAGGGTCCCTATGGATGCAAAATTACACATTTAAATTATGAACAGTTATCCCACAACGAAACAGACATTTTTTTAAAAAAAACTCCAAATTTGGATATTGATAAAGGTGTAGCAACAAAGTAATTGTCTTGAGATCAAGCTGTGTAGCATCCAGTTTTTTTTCCCATACTAAAATGCACCTAAAACTGCAATAACAGCAAAATATTAACACTAGAACCCAGTGCCACGTTACTCTATAGTGTTACTCACACTATGGATTACAGATAATAAGACAAACATGACTATTTATGCTTCAGAAGTGCTGCTCTTGACAGGAGGTCTATGTTTTCAAGTTAATAGAAGTTATCCATAAATCCTTAATACGATAAATAATAAAACATGTTTCTCTGTCTTTCTGTCTTTTTTCCTGCCCAGGTGTTGTTGCTGTGAAGGACTCGGTCCCCTTGTCTCCTCTCAAACCTTCAGCTGCACCTGCAGACACAGAACAACAAAGTCCTGATGGAGGAAACTCTGCTCTGGGCATCGACCTGCAGCCTCCCCGTGTTTCCATGGAAACCTCAAATCTCCGACCTCAAACGCCCAAACCTGAAGACAAACTGGAGGAAGACGACGAGGGCAGCGGCGCGCTCACTATTTCTGAGCTCACCTACAGGTCTGGAGAGTTGTATTATGAACTGTACAAAACAGATTTTCCAGATGTTTACTTTAACTTTTGCTACTGCTAGAAACAAAATGCCACTTAAGACATCACCTGTTAGAAATGTTCCTTCCTCTTTAAGCCTTAGCCATTTCTTTCCACTGTTCAACAAAATGTGTTACCTAAATATGTTCCAATATCTTCTCTCTCTTCTCCAGCCCCTGTGCCAGCATGCTTCCCACCCCGGTAGATGACGGTCAGGGAGGGGTGGACTTGCTCTTCTCCTCTCCGGTTCAGAGCCCCGCCAGGCTGCTAAGAGAGCTCCACGCTGACCCCGACATCCAGGCCCAGCTGGAGGCTGAGAGGGAGCGAGACCGGGCCTACGAACGCGCCCGCCTGGCTGCCAGAAGTCGAATGAGCGGAGTCCTGACCAGCAGCCTGCGCCTGCTGTCATCCAACGAGAGAGTCAACGCCTGTGTGCTGAGCATGGCCCGCTTCATCGCCGTGGTGATGGGCGTCCTGCTGGTCACCGTGCCCATGCTGCTGCTGCTGCTGGAGTCGGACATCGACGTGTCATTCCTCCACGAGATCCGCCAGACGCCGGAGTTTGAGCAGTTTCACTACGAGTATTACTGCCCGCTGCGGCGCTGGATCCTGTGTAAGATCAGCATGGCCATGGAGAACCTCTGGTCTGACTGAAGAGGAGCAGAAGCAGGAGGAAAAGGAGAGTCGCTGCAGGGGAAGCAAACAAGCCCAAACGTCTGTCTTAACATGTGATTCAATCTTATATTCAGTCTTAGAAACTTGCATCTCATGAGGCAATAAAACCAATCTGCCAATGGGTTGAAACGATTTCACTTGTAAGCAAGTACATTTTATTTTATGCAAAGCTGCAAAGCATCACTTATGATGGTTCACAAAATACTATTTTTTATTCAAAAGGGGAAAAGTGTGATTTACTGTCAGAGTTCCCAGAACAGTATTTATGACTGAATTACACCGAAACAAGTTGTTTGTTTCAGCTCTTTGGCATCATGATTTACTGCCTTGAAGAAAAGAAAGAGAAGAGAGAAATAAGATTTGAATTAGAGGATTTAGTCACTTGTTAAGATGGACACTTTTTGCAGGAATGAACAGAAAATAAAGACGATGAAGAAAGAAGTACTGTGTTCATGGAGGAACTTGTTGAAGAAGGAAATTCATGAGGGTAGCCACGGACGGAGAAAAGTCAAAAGGAGTTGGTTTTGTTTCACTAGAGTTTTAAAGGCCTGTTCACTCCTGATGCTGACAAGCTGGTACAGAGACTCTTCAGTAAGTATCCCCAATCATTCTGATTGGTTCTCATCCTCAGAGCAGAGCGCCTGATTGGTCACAGAGCCTGTCAGTCATGACGGAGTGGGTGGGAGCAGAAAGCAAAACGATCGATTTGCCACTGAACGCAACAATAGCCACAGTCAGAGGTACATTATATATTTAAAAAAAACAAGAGAGAGATATTGATAATAAATACCAATCTTAAATAAGTTGTTTTTAACGTTTTGTACATTTTTATGTGATCCAGATCTTTCAGGAATTTTTCAGTCAGAGGATCTACTTTGAGCTTATTTTCAAATTAAGAGTTTACAAAAGACAAGAAAAAAAAAAGCTCATTTATTGAAGTTTATCAGGGTGATGGGTGTTGAGAAATTTAAACTATTTTTTAAGACTACCATCAACGTTTGTTGGCCTGGTAGCACCCTGGGTTTTTTCCTACAGAGGTTATAGCACAAAATCTTTTACACGGACCACAGATTTCAACTGTTTCAGATTATGTGATGTCATTTTGGAGACAGGAGAGAAACTTCAGCCTGCTGATGTGTGTTTTGTTGAACTTATAAATGTCTTCTGAACTAAATGTTAGCTCATCGGTTAAGGCTAAAAGTGCATCTTTTGACAAGGTCGAGAGTTTTTAGAGAAACGGTATAAAGAAATGCTAAAGGAGGAAAATGGTACATAGAGGCTCATGAAGAAAAAAAAGAACATATGGGACAGTTAACCATGATTTTAGACTTGCGGTTGGTCGTTTGTTGGTGTGCTAGTTTAGTTTCTGTGGACGTTTAGGGGAAAATTAAAGCGATATATTGGCTCACTCTAAATGCCCTGAGGAACAGAGGGTGCATACACCTCTGGTAGATAACACGTGGTGGGACAAGCGATGCATTTAATTGTCTAAACCTCTCATACAAGTAATTTATTTGTGCAGAAGACGCTGATCAGACTGAACAAACGCAGCTGCAGTTATTAAGCTTGTAGGAACAGATCCGAATTTTAGTCACGGAGTCAAATTAGAAATGATTTGTAGCATTTTAGGAGAAAATCTGTGACGGCATCATGTGGCGTACCTGTCTTTACTTGTATTTTTACAGTTCGTGACCAACATGACAGCGGTATGATGTTACACACGGTGAGGATATTTAATGATGAGTGATGGTTTGAGCAGGTTTAGGGCTGCGTTCATGGACGTGCACTAGCAAGAAGTTTAATACTGGATCACTAGCAGGCTGTGGAGTCAAACTTAAAAAAAAAAAGTCAAGGCAACAACCTAAGAAAATATTAAATAAATATATAAATAAATAAAAATAGGCAAGGGCTGAAAATATAGATTGTGACTTAATACTGGAAGCTGATTTGCATTCATGGACATGCACTAGCAAAAGGTTTAATACTGGATCACTCGCAGGCTGTGGGGTCAAAATAAAAATATATATATATATCAAGGCAAAAACCTAAGAAAATATTAAATTAAAAAAAATAGGCAAGGGCTGAAAATATAGATCGTGACTTAATACTAGAAGCTGATTTGTATCGGAGTGTGTGTTTTGTACACAAAGATTAGGGTCAAACAAATCTGAAACTACTGTAGCCTGGATCAGTAAAGTGATTAAAAACTTTTGGGAACTTACAGCCATCAAACTGTTGTTGGTTCAGTGTAGAGAAGATGCCTGTTGGTTATAGTATAGTGGCTCTGAATACACAGGGGAGCACAGAGGTACAGTAACGAGAGATGACTTCAGATTAAATGAAAACAGATGATTAAAAAAAAAAAAAAAAGTTCTGTTCAAAATATAGTTTGATTTCTCAGGAAAGGGCATTATCAATTTATGTTAAAAATAAAATCATATGTCTAAGAATATAAAAGAAAAAAAAATAGAAAACTGCATCTAATCACAGCATACACTATATAATTTATTCATATGTCTTGCTGTTATGCTATTAGGAGTATCCAAACACTGTGTAAAGCCGGACGTAAATATGGCTGCAGACTGTCTGGGTTGTTGTAGCTTAATTTCACTCGAACATGTATGCATCCTCGTCATTTTCATAGAAATATTACACAACAAGTCTTCACTGTTGAGAGTTTGGCCGACATAGCTGAGCCTCCATACTGCTAGATATGAGCAACATGGAGTCTGGTCAGTCTCACACAGTATTTAGGCTCTCGTAAAGACCTGAACTAATGCTTTAACATTTATTTCCAGGAGTCACTCTCCTATTCCCATCCTACCATCAAAGTCCTGTCATTCTCTCCAGTGTTGCTGCCCCACATTATCAGCTGTGTTGTCGTGCACCTCTTTAGACTTTATGCATCAACGGGCTTTATGCATATGGCAAATATGCAGTTAACGACAGAGACACACTTATTCGGGACAAAGCATTTATTTTCCTACTACAGCACATGCACTGAGTTTCAACGGTGAAACCAAGCAAAGGGCCAAACCACTATGATGACGATGTTTGCATTTACCATCACAGATTCTGAGATTTTAAAAAAAGAGCTTCGCTGATCTGTATGCACTGCTGAACGATCGCCTTTCATCCCATGATCACTAGCAGAGGGGGGATGTCATCCTGTCTTCATTCGTAACATTTCTTAAGGTTGATGCACAGGCGCCAAAATGCTCGAGCGATTCACTGTAGATTTAAAACAAGAAGAAAACTGTAAAGGCTTCATGTACACAGCTATACAGACGTCCCCGGCTTTGGTCCTTTATTTCTGTGACTGAACCGAGGAATCTCTCTCTCTCGGCTCCTTTTGCTGACCTCTCAATGCAAACTGCATGCCCTCATCTGTAAATATCGTGTTTATAGCTGTGGCAAAAAAGCCCCAGTGTGGGTAAAGATTTCCTTTCTTTCTTCCCTCTGTGTGTCTTGTCCGTGTAAAGCGATCTAGATATAGGCTTGGCTGTCTCGACCATCTTAGATGAATGCATGTTCTCTGTTTTTAACCAAGAGGAAAAGACATGAATCACTCAGAATTAGTCACCTAAGCAGTTTTTTAAAAACCAAAACACACCACGCAATGTGCTTTGGATCTCATTTTAACCATGTGGTTGCTAATTCTCTTAGCTTCCTCTCATCCAGTTAGATGACATCTCAGCCTAAAAAGTTGGAAAAAATCTCATTTTATAATCTCCTTAAGAGCAGCCCGAAAATGTTTGACTATAGTTAGCGTCATCGTGCTTTCGCTGTGTGTTTGTGAATCATTAAAGCTAAATGTTAGCGCTGACACCTAACCTCATTGCTAATGAAGCATGCTAGCATGTTAGCTTCTGTATACCATAAGCAGGGTTTGGGGTTCATTCACTTTCAGTTCAAAGAAACTAAATTACACTATTAATTGAACATCAGAAACATTTTTGAAATGTTCAGTTTGTAATCACTGGACAGAGTTATTGGAAAGTAAAACGACACCTCTGCAAACAACAAAAAAAGGCCTTTTGGTTCTGTGATGAGAACACATCTTGGCCCCCATATGACACTGTAGCATTATATTAGTTTGTAGCTCTTTTTTTTTCCTGTTTTACAGCTTTTAAAGGGGAATTTAACCACTTTGAGATTCAGCTCTTGTTTTGAGCTACTGAATTTGAGTTCTCGTTTGACAAACAGCATATAGACGGACTGCGAGTACTACTTTTGTTTGGTTTTTGTTTGCCTGTACACATGAATAAAACTGTGATTATATAAAACATCAAGATCACACACACCAGTCGATGTCACATCTGAGGTACTTCTTAATGCAAATTCAGACGTTCCTGGCATGAGTCAAGTATTTACAAACCTTAAATTGAATTACCAGTCCAAATCTGGAAGGAAAAAAAAAAAAAAAAAGCTTTAGCAACAACTCACAAATACTGCTTTTAAGTCATTTATTTAAGATTTTAAATATTTGAACTCAGGTCTACTATATGCAAAACTGCTGGACATCACATGGTATAAGAGGAAAATAAACTGTATATTATTTCAGTGTTGTGTGGGCATGTACAGTAGCAGAATCTCTTGCACGGTCCCTATGTTGTTTTTAACTGTTAGTCAAACTGATTGTTTTGTTGTTCTATTTGTTAGTCTGATTGTTTTTTTGTTTTGTTTTGTTTTGTTTTTTTCATTTAATCTCTTTTAATAAGAAACTCTGGGAGATTTAATTTAAGAAGAATCAAATAAAAGGAAAAAAAACAAAAAAAAAAAACATCCCTAAGTAATGACCCCCTCTCTTCTGGGACAACCAAGCCTTATGAACTTTGTGAAGTGAAAATTTTGAATGTTTGTATGTTATAAAAGAAAATATGGATTGTTTTATATGTTAATACTGCCACAATAAAGCTCCCTAATGAATATATATTGAAATACGGCCAGTATTGTGTGGATTATTTTCATGTCACAGT